TCTGTTAGAATTTTTACCATCCACAATGAACGAAAAACTAATTTGTATCAGATCAAATGGACCTTCAAATTCATTTTTACTCATCGCTCCACCTCTTCTAGAAACCTAAATTCACCATTATTCGTGACCATATTCTGTGGGTCAAGTGTTAGGATTCCTTTGGTAAATTTTGTGCGTATCCGTAGGTACATTCATCTGGAATGTTTGGTAGTGAATTCTACACCTGCAATTTTGTTCTTACACAAGTCTGGTAGTTCATATAGTTCCCTGAAAGTATTAACTGCACCTTTAATGTTCTTTTGTTGTGATGTTGGATCTGTAAAACCTAATTATTTGTTAACGACCTTTCACGCAAACCGAGTTTATATGAATACTCACTGTCTTGATAAAGCAATATTGTTGTTAGCTAAAACTTTTAGAGTATTATCAAGTTTATGAAACGTATCTTAGACAAGAATTTCAGATCTCAGTTTTTACAGTTCAACATTTCAACGAATACGCCAGAATCCCAGTAAAACAATCATAACTCTTGGTGCATAGATTACGGTCGCGAATCTTATTAGGACTTTCTTAGACTCACTGAGTTCCCCCCTAGCTAAAATATAAGACCGCACAGCGTTCAGTACTTGAATTTGATTCCTTATGTGTCAATTATATTCATGCCATTCAGTTTCTGTAGTATATATGAGGTTTTCACAGAGATTCTTTTAATATACACAATTCTGTGAAGATAACACACACTTAGAATGAATGAACGAATTAGAATCAGAAAAACAGCAATGTCTGATTATTTTTCATACTCATCGATTGTCATGACGACGATTTTTTGAGGTTCAAAAATATCATGCGTATAATAATGGACTAGATTGCGTTGCAATTTCAATTTTAAACATTGAGAATCTTCGTATTTACGAATGTCGATAACAGCTAGAGCATGGAAAATTATTTCCCTGTTTCATTAGCCTAATGGAAACTTGGCAGCCACAGTGAACATGATCAGAATTTAAGATGGAAACAACTGAGTTTTATAACTTTAAAGTCATTTAGATCACTTAAGTCATAAAGTCAGTTGTTTCCCCCTTGATTGAACGTCACAGTTAGTCAAACCGTGGTAATCACAATTCGAATCTAGTTTTTTCTACACCATACCTTCCCATAATCCAGCACCGCGGTTTTGTTAAGTGGCATTACGGTTTGATAAAATAGCGTTTTTTAACACAAAATGTTCTCATGAAACCTGCCTCTAGTCGAGAATCTCTTACCGAATCTCCACGACTCACGACAGGGAGTCCTTGAGGATTTATAAGGAAGTTAAAGGAACTCCCTAGGGATTGTTCAGGGGGCAGCTCTATAAGTGACTCTGTCGCTCTTTATAAAGGACAGTTTTTTTAAGGGATGTACAAACCAGTACATGAAATTTATCACTGAGCGACATGCCTACCTACCTATCTATCTATCTATGCATGTACCTATTTATCTACTTACCTATCTACCTAGCTATTTATCTACTTACCTATCTATCTACCTATTTATCGACCTACCTTTCTATCTATGTTACAATATACTTGTCTTTCGAGGGCTAAAGCTCAGTGATAATATCGCCGAGATTTGCCATGGACTCGAAATCAAGGAAAAACTACACCTTGAGAAGTTCCTAGAAAGTGACTCTTCAGGGAGTATGTTTTTTTCTTTCCACTTCGTAAAATGTGGAGATTTCCTGAAATATTCCCGGGAGAATTTCTTGTTTTTAGGGAATCCTTGGTGACTCTCCGGGGATTTAACATTTTTTTGGGAACTCTCTGGGGGTTTGTTAATGGATTATCGACTAGGGGTGGCTGAGCTCTCTTCCGTCATAAGAAACCGCGGTTCTTACAGTTAAAACCTTTATGACCTGCCGAAAAATTGTGATGATCTGATTGGATGGAATCGCGATGTTGGGATTGATATAAATGAATATTTATTGAGGATAGTTGACCCAGGACGTGTAAAACTAATGGAAATCAATATTTATCTTAGCGTCCTTTAAAGTAGGTTTTAAAGTTATGGTAAAGCCTAAAACTTTCGTTTCTTAATATCTCAAGAAACCGCGACTCTGGTTGTATCATATGTTCATAGAACTGTATTCCTTCAAATACAGTCCCATTTGACGGAAGCGTCTCGATGAAATGTAGTCCTGTAGGTGCAAGAGAGATATGTTCCACAATATGTTGGCTGAAGTGTATGATTAGCATGAAGATCTTAAGAGTTTGCTACTTTGACAAGAGAAAACAAGAATTTAAAGGTTTTTAGAAAGTAATATACATTTTCCCTGCACTAGGGCGTCATTTCCCTGTTAAATTTAAATAAATTTAAATTATTCGCGCTTTTTAATTTATTAAGGGGCCCCTCTCTAAAATGAAATTTTTTTTTGAGCATCCCATCATGATAAAATTTTCAGTGGATGTGTATCTCGAGCTAGACAGCTCACAGTAAAAATTTCAGCTCGGTAAATTCAGTCTACGAAGAGTTAGCATAAGATTATGGGTCAAAATTTAGGTTTCCGTGCGTTCCAAATTTCTCCGCCGTTTCGAATGCTGGAAAGTTTATGCTGGTTTTAAAATGTAGCCAATATGTGGCACTACAACTTAGCAGGTCTCGATTTTTCGACTCTCTCCTAGCTTGTGTTTTTAGAAAATTTCTCTGATGAAATATGAAAAAGCCGATGGAAGTAGGTCCAGAAAAGTTAGTTTCTTACAAACATTAACGAGGGAATCGAAAAATTCGACCGTATTAAGTTGTAGAGCTAATTTTTGCCTTCATTTTGACATCAAGCCCAGCTTTCTAGCGTTTCAAACGGCAGAGAAATCTGGGACCCACGGAAACGTAAAAATCAAAAATCCTGTTTTGAGAAAAAACCTTATTTTCTTTTATGGAAGGTTCAGAAAAGCCTGTGCAATATCCTTAAGTCACATCATTAAATCAATAAACTATAGTGCATTCAAAAGTAGACACTTAGCTCCATCTAACGAGCTATAAATCACAAAATCAACAAATTTGACCAAAATTGACATTTTTTGGGAGGGAGCCATAAATTAGAAATTAAATTAATTTATTCTTTTTTCTTAGGACACTATATGTAAGAAGTATATCGAGATGTCACTTCGTCAGATATTGTAAAGAAACTACCGTCCTCATTTAATTCTTAGAAAATGCAGTATCTTTTATCTGATTTTTTGCATGGACAAATGAATTAGAAGTGTAGTGTATGATTTATAGATAAATAAAATGTTAAAAAAGGTTCTATCTCACATATAAGGCATTCTAAAGAAATAAAATAATTTAATTTAATTTCTAATTTAATAAATTACAAAGCACAAATAATTTAAATTTATGTTAAATTAAAATTAAGGATAATTTAATTTACCCATAAATTAAATTAAAAATAAATATAAATTGACACTTCTATCCTGCATATTCACGTTACTATCTTAAATATTTCTTAGTTTTTATGAGGAAGAATATCACGTTTGATCTGTCTATGAGCACCACGATATAGTTCAGCGGAATTATCGGATTATAATTATAAGGTAAGGAGATCGAATCTCACGAGAAGCAAAAATAAATTTGAATGATCGGAGGTATTATGGAGATTGACCGCGGTATCGGACTACCGCCCTGGCAACGATGTTACAACCACGATTTGAGCAAGTCAACTAGTAGAATAAGTGACAGAAACCTCTAGAGAGAATAGTTACCTCTGGAAATATGAGTAGATTCTTTTTCAAAAATCATTGATAATTGCGATTTAAAAATACTGCAAAAATCAGACTGTTTATTAGGTTTTTTCAAACTGCCTGAAACATAACACAGATAACCACGGTTTCAAAATGTTGATATAAGCCTAATAAACGGTCTGATTCCAGTGGTTCATATTGACCGAGCCAAAATGCGGCTTTTCGAACGACGATCAGTCGCGGTTTTCATTGAAAATTATCTCCGTGGATGTTAATGCTAAGCTAGTTGTTTTGAAAACTTAATTATCTGAAAACAGTGAAAACTTCAACTGATTACGAAAACAACAGAAAAAATGAATGATTGAAATAAATGTTACATGAACATTATTTTTCTTTTTTTTTGTTGAAGATACTCTAAAAATATTTTTATACAGATTTCGAAAAATAAACTGTTTATAATTAAAGAACACGTTCTAGTGATTTAGGTAGTTTCATTGAGGTGAGATATGAAATATTAGAGAATAGCAGGACTTTAAGTCAAAAGCAGCAAAATCTGGACATTTCTCAAAAATCAGGAAAGTAGTGTTGCTGCAAAGCCTGCGACTGTCGAAAATCATTGGATCTGACATTCGTCAATTTTCTGTCGAAATTCTGTATTAAGAAATCCGACAGCTTCCGATATGGTTCTGTCGGAAGTTATCGGATTACTTGGAGATTCCTATGGGATCTGAATGCCAGATTCTTCGTTCTGGACATGGCTTAGAAAGTATCCGATGAAAGAAGAAAGATACCACCATCAGTCAACAGAAAAGGAAATAATGGTTTATCCATGAATTGTTCTTTATTTACAATGAACATAGTAAGATGATAATGGAATACTTAGATCAAAAAGAAGCATTTTATTACAATATTTTAAAATAACAAATATAGAAAAATGTTTTGCCAATTAAATATGAACATCGCATAAAAATAATTGAAAGGACTAGTACTTTAACATTTCTTTTTTTAAAATTATGATCAAATGCATCTCAATATAAACAAAAATTTTAGTTTTCTTTTTTAATTTGAAATACTTTTTTCAAGTTTTTCGGCATCATCATGTGATGGTTTGGATTCTTTTTCTTCATATTCATATCTTCCAATGCACAAATTAATAATGTATCAACGGCCATTGAATAAACCGAAAAAAACATGTTGCAATAACATAAGTACCAATAATAATTAGCAATAATGGTACAAGATAATAATGTAATTCTGGTACATATTCTTTAGCTTGTGGTATTCGATGAGTAAAAAAGAAGAAAGCAAGAATACCGATACCAACTGTTATACATAATTTACCAATAAACATAAGAAAGTCACATACTTTATCAATAACAAGTAAACGAAGTGGATTTGAAATAATAATATGAGATGCACGGCGTGCTGATGTAAAAAACCCTGTTCCATATATTGCTGTTATTATATAAGCATTTCGATTGAGAAATTTTAAGAATTTTTCCAAACAGAGTAAACAACAACGACAACAACAAAATAGATAACGAGCAATCCTTCCTGTTTCGTCTTTTACTTTTTTTTCAATATATTCTAATAATACACGAATCAATTTAATAATTGCTATGATTAATGAACCAAATGCTATTGTGCCAAGACGAAATACAAGTGCACGCAACAAAGATTCACCTAATGATAAACATGGAATACCAAATCGTTTTCTATCCCAATGATAACGTGCATAAACACCAGCTAGTTTTGTATTCAAATTTTTATTTTCAAAATGAATTAATTTAAATCAACTTACCGAGAACTAATTCACTAAAGCCAATAATAAAAGCTGTTAACCAAAAGAACATAAAAGTAGAAAATAATTGTGGAATCCATTGATTTTTATTGACAAAGCTAATAAAAGATTTAGAATGTTGACCAGTACCTAATATACAACAAAAAAGGTAACTTCTGGCAATTGTAAAATTTATCATACCATTAAGAATACTATTCAAATCAATCTGTGGATCATATCCATACTCCCAAAAGACACATTCAATATACATTCCATCAATATTATTCCATTTATTTGGATCACATATTTCACCATATGTTACATTTGTTGAATTTGCAGCTGTTTCATCAAGTGCTGTTCGATAAATTGGTTTTCCTGCAGTTGCTAGATAAACTGTCACAAATCCCCACTAAGCAAATACTGCAATATGTAATAAAAATGGTATAAATGTCCAAAAAAGACTAAAAACGTTGTATGCAACAGCTTTTGATGCTTCTTGAAAAGTAGCAAAAGCTATTCGAAGATGTTTAAATAAAACAAGAAGAATAAGAGCTGATATGAGTAGAAGAAGAGTCGATAGAATTGCAATAATTAACCATGTTATTGGTAAACTTCGATAATAATTTGCATCAACAACAAATTTAAATTCTGTCAATATTTGATTATCATTTTTTTCGCGAAGTTGAATAAATTCAAAAAATGATAAACCACTTATAATAGCTAATAAAACAATAAACAATATTATACCAAGCCAAACAATTGATTTTGCTAACCAACGCATTAATACAATCCATACAAACTAAAATATATTTCAAGTTCTTTTACTCTTTTCATGTTTCCTTTCATACCGATACAGTTGCAGCAATGGCGAAAGCAATCAATATATATTTCCATGATGTTGTGGAATCTTCAACAAGCATTGCGCCTATTTGTTTTAAATTAAGTAAATCAACAAGATATTTTACACTCTAAAGAAAAATACACTGGATAGAATTTATTTTGCAATAATCTTTCAAAGAAAAAAAACCTGTTCAAGCCTGGAGCCACTTAATGGTTGTCCATTTGAATCATATACAGTTGCATTAGATTTATTACGATCCGGTACCTAAAACGGCATATTTTTTCATGATCATCTATCGAAGCTCTGATTCTAACCTGAATTATAGAATTAGTCAAATTCTGTATATGTTGAGGAACACATTGACCAAACAATGGTTTACTAGTAATAATATATGATGCACATTTTCCAGCCTTAACTAATTCTTCATCATTATGGTTACTTTGGGCTACATCATATGTACAAACTCTATTTGCATAATCATTTTCAAATTTATAATAAGATGTTACAGTCGGACATTGTTCAACACAAACTTGTGTTGTAGGAAAAACAAATGGACGACCCTTTAAAATATTGGATGGTACATTAAATGACTTTATACATTTTGTCCAATCAAAAAAATACACATATGGTTGATTGGCGTATTCTTCTGAGCCACAAAGATTACCCTGACTATCAGTTGGATGTAGTAATTGTCTTGGATCACCTATTCATTTCATAGAAACACTAATCACCAATTTTAAATAAATAAATACCTTCTTTGAAAGCAAAAATGCTTAAGACAACAAAACAGATAATGAATATAAGAAATAGGATACAACATGGAATATCGAAGTATATACATATATGTTTTTTTTTTTACATGAACTAGACTTTTTCTTTTTCTTTACTAACCAGTGCAATATCGTTTTCGTCGAAGAACTTCTTTTGGTGACTTAAAACGAGCGTCTTTGGTGAGAGTAATAGATGTTTTCATTGGTGTGCTTTGTCGGTATCTAGGATATTAATCAAATTTCTAGATAAAGTTTTTTTTCATTTATTTAAATATTCTTCTTATATATGTAAAAAAACCTAGTAATAATGCAAAAAGTGAATACCTATCCGATGTCACTGAATGTATTGCGACAATAATTCTGTATCTGTCTATTCGTTATTTGAATATGATACCTTTGGACAACAATTTTATGTCAACAAGCATACAGAAAAAAACGATCGAAAATGTGTTTGTATCATGTCTGTAAAAGAGGCAACCTTGATCTTGATAACAATATATAATGCTTTCAAAAGTCCAAACTAACGTATTATGGAGACTTTTTTTTTTCGAAAAGATAATATCAGTGATAAGAAAAGAAGAAACAAATCAAAATATAAGAAGGTTTAAAATGTCGCATGAAATAAAAGGATCTTATACTCTTCTAGTTAAGGAATGGAAATATGGTGGGATTTTCACATTCACAATAACAAGAAAACATAAAAGCCTACAAGAAAACGATGAATGATTTTTTTTCTATAACAAAGAACAGAAAATATTATTATTTGTGTAATCAAATTTTGTTTTTACTATCATATCGTCATTGTTTCTAAACTTTATTGAATAACATGCAGACACCAGTTAAAATAATATTGACTTGATTCACGTATACCAACAAATTCTTGTCAACGAATATTATTTCCGGTCATCGTGATAAAAACAATGTAGAACACCGATTTTTGTAAATGCTGCTCAAAAAATATGTGTAAATAGAGCTTATTAATAATCGTATTGTTTATTAGGAAAATTTATTACGAGACTATCTCATTATGAATAGATTTCAACAATATCGAAAAAAGAAGACTTTTTGTTTTAAATTAGTTATTTCATCAATTCTGTATGATTAATCACGGTTATTTGCTTAGATAATATTATTTTTATTTCTTTATATATTAATACTTGAATTAAGACAACGTTAATAAATCTTTTTATTATAGCATGATGAGTTGAGCCAGTCTGTTAAGTAAATATTTATTCAAATAGAAAATAGACCGTGACTAATTGAACATTCAGCACCTGTTCAGTCAAACGACAAGATTTGTTCTTCTCAGATAGATATATGAGTTTTGCTGTCTTCTCCTTGATCATGATGCTCAATGTTATCCTACATATATACTTTAAATACTCTTGCACAACATCATAACAAAGTAAAAATAACAGAAGATAAAGGAATGAGAGTAGAAGTATGATATTTATTTGTTAAGAGCGTTTCTAAGCAAAAGAGTGAAAACAATTATTGAAAATAATATGAAAAATGATTTTCACGACAAATAAAGGTAGAAATAATTTAATAACTGTTTGTGTACGACACAATACGTGCTGTATTATTTCTTTAAGTAGTATTATTTTTACTTGAATAATAATGCTAAATAGAACTTGATAATTTTAGAATGATTTATTTATGGAAGTGAAGATAAGCAACAAATCTATATAATCTGCACTAATAACCACTAATAAAAAACGGTCTTGATATTCAATATAGTCCAGAAAAATCTAATAATGATCACTAGCTCATGCCAAAGAATAGGAAAAATTGCTTCAGCATATTTAATTTTTATCATCTCTTGTATATTAAAGTATTATTTATTGTAAATACGATCTAAAATACCTTAAAGGATTTTAAACAAAGTGTATATATGATATTGATCTTTTGAGCAAAGATGTCGCCCGAAATCAATGAGTCTGAAATAAAATCTTCAATTCGTTATTCAGCTGATCGAATCAAATGCATAAAAAAAAGCTAAACGTCCATGCTATGCTTTATTCATTATTTATTTATTTATTTTCTATTGATCTTGCATCATTATTCTATTCTTGTTCAGAAAAATTTTATCATGTGGATGAGATATTCAAAATGGATCCTATCATCATCAAAAAATTCATCATTACCATATTTTCGATTAATTCAACAGTTTCGTACACAAATTTCACGTAATTCATTGCAACCAAAACCACGTCGTTCAATAAAAAATTTTGATGAATCGAATATTTTACGTGTTGAACCTCAAACAGAAATACATCGAAGTCATCTTCTTATTCGACCGACAATTTTTACTGTTGGTGTACGTTAACATAAATTTTTTTTCTCATTTTAAATCTTTATTTTCATTTTTCGAAGTTTGTAGGCTGTTCATTTGTAACATGTGCTATTTGGCAATATGAATCTCATAGAAATAAATTACGAAAAATAAAAGAACGTTGGCAATTAAAAGAAAAACCTCAACAAATATCATCACAAGTGTTTTGAAAAATAAATAAATAAATGATTTGATAAAGAAAATTAATTTATTTTAGTTGAAAAATATTTGGCGTGATATTTCGGAATCCAAACGAGTGATTGGAACCATAATTGGCTTGAATTTAATTGTTTTTCTTGCATGGAGAGTGAAAAGATTTGAACCATTTTTATTAAAATATTTTACATCAAGTCCTTATAAACGTAAGTTTAAATTTAATTTATTATCAAAAGTAAAGGTTGTTTTTCTCTATTGATTTTCTCATAGCAAATGTTAGTTCAATGTTATTATCAACATTTAGTCATTATAATGGAATACATTTTTTTTGTAATATGTATGTTTTATGGTCATTTAGTGATCCAGTTATAAGAATTTTTGGAAAAGAACAATTTTTTGGTAAGTTCACTTTATTATGTTAAAAAATCCGAAAGGTTTTATTTGTTTTTTTAGCTGTTTTTCTCTCTGGTGGTATGAGTATTTATTGGTTAAATCAATGAATTTTGATTGTTGGTTTCTTTTTTAAAGGTGTCATTTCTTCTTGGTTAAGTTATGTATTCAAAATAGTGACACGAACACCAAATATTTCTCTAGGAGCAGTAAGTATCAATAAAGGATATATGTTTATTTTCTCTGGATGACATTTACTATCTGTATACTAAGAGTTTATGCTAAATATAAGGATTATATGTCACTATGACATATTGATCATTCTTATAAATAACAAGAGATTACGTCATTAATTGGAATTGTCATCTAAGACGTGATCAGCATGAATAATCTGTTAATATTCATAGATTATTTCTATATAATATGTCGTTTTTTATTATTGTTCTGTTCGATTAAGAATACGGATTTCTTTATTAATACAGGATAAAATCTGATTGATGGATGATTAATCATGAAGATGTAATGACAGATGAGTTTTTTCTTGTAAGAAGAATTTTCATTTCTACATTGGCTATTGACATTTTGTTTTTTTTCTAAATATATTATTATATTGAAAAAGTAATTCATTTTTTATATGTGAGATCAACTCGACAACTATTTCTCATATATAAAATTTGAATGATTCTTTCAGCTTTAATTGAAAATGGAATTCAGTTTTATTTATTACGGAAGATAAATATATCGATGGTAAATATGCTTACCTTCATTTTTAGTGCTATCCTTTTAAATTTTCGCTCAAAATTGAGATAACCAATCAAAAAGCCTCTTAGAAGTCTTATCTTTTCTCAAATGTTTTTTTTTCTGATCGATTATGATCTATACATTTGGCAGAATGTGTTTATTACAATTTAAACTATTGATTATCTTTAAAAAACTGAGAAGAGTAGATATTTTAAATGATGAATCATTTGAAAAATATTTGGTTTCAGTCAAAAAATAATCACGTAGACATCAGACTAAACAGATACGATGATATGATAACGAAAACAATAATTTCTTACTTTTCGCTTATTCTCAAAACATTTATTCTTCGTTTATATTTTGGCATAGATATCATAAAAAAAACAATGCATAGAATAAATTAATATTTAGTTTTGACGCTTTCATGCATACAGTCATTAACTTTTATCATTTTTTATAGCATTAGAGACAAACTCGCTCTTATATGAGTGGCTATTGCTTGGTCATTATATTTTCTGGCTCCTTTCTACCCGAAAAATTCCTCTTTTTGTCTAGACTAATACTCTTCGAGTTTCACACATGGTCAAATAATCCAGCTTACGTTCCATTGAACGTACTATAATCTACTAATTTTACGGTAGCTCTTTCAGATTTCCCTAAAAGCTGAAGAGTGATTTGCAGACCTCAGTCGTCGAAGTCCTTTGAAATTTCATACAGCTTTGTAACATGGAGAATATAGTTAACATATATTAGCAAATGCTCTCGAAACATCTTTTCTTATCTTTCGAAATGCGAATCGATTTTCTTGTAGGACTTTATGGTGAACAAACAATTGATTTTTCAACGCCTAAGTTTATTTCGCATTTTTCTTGTCATGGATTTTGCTGTTCGTGTTCTTTTCGCGTGTTAAAATTTTTCAAGGCATTTTATATGCTAGAAAGCTCGAGAGGGTTTTTAATTGAAGTAGAAATTGCTCTTTACAAGTTAACAGAGCTCGATTTATCATAGAATTTCCCTAATTTTCTTAAATTTTTGAAGAAAACTGGTGTCAAAAGGTAACAATAGAAATGTTTAAAAACCAGATTCTGTTAAGTTGTAGCGGCAAGTATTGTCAACACTTTGACACACAGAGACCTGTTGTTTGATCTTTGATACTATGGCAACTCTTGATTAACTTAATGGTTTTGCCACCATTTTCACTGCAAACTAGTGATACCTGAACATATATATATATTCTCTAAAAGTGACTGCAAAAAGTCGTCATAATCGATATTGGAAAGCCCTATTTTGGATTGATTCTATTCGTATATAAAATTCATCTCGCATTTGATATTCTAATCTTCTATAAATGTAATAAAATTTCAATCTCGTTTTGTCAAAAATCTTTTTTATAATTATGTTTAATTATGTGTTCAAAATTTGAAATATGAAAATGATTCTATTGAGATTACACAACAAGATATGTTATTCTACCATAAACTTCATAATACTATTATTAAATTTCAAAAGTCATTTTCAACGGAATCCATCGAACTAATAGCCAATATTTGAAACCATAAAGTAAATAAAACACCAAATAGATTCATGTCTCTTCCAATTTGTTTGCAAGAACAAGTGTAAAAAATAGTTTCAAAAAGATGCCATTATTATGTGTCACGTAAAAGTTGTTCGTATATGTTTGAGATATATGTCGATGAAGAATGATCATTAAACATAAGATAAATTCCAGTAATAGAATATTCTTTTACTGCGATGTGAAAATAAGAAATACGCCGTTGACATAGTTATACCAATTTTAGAAAAATTTTATTTACCATGAAAGAAAAAATATCTTAACAAGTCAACATATATGAGATACTATCTTTTATAATTATCTCATATTATAACAAACATAAGCAAAATTCTCTTCTAAAAGAAATTCTTTTTAATTTTGAAAGAATGTATTACTGTTCATGTGGTATAAACATGTTCTATGTTGTTAATTTTTATTTATAGTCTGGCTCAATAATGGCATTATTGGGTGCCATTTGTACTCAATTTCCTGATGCACAATTAGCCATAATATTTCTTCCTTTCTTTACTTTCTCAGCTAAATCAGTAAAAAAAATTTTTTTTTTCTAATAATATAAAACACGTGTAATAACGCTATTCTATAGGCTCTTATATCGATGGTGTCCTTTGATCTTTTTGGTACAATAATGCGTTGGCGTTTTCTGGATCATTCAGCACATCTAGGTGGAGTATTGTTCGGCATGTAAGTACAAAAAAAATAAAATATTTTCTTAATTGATTCTTTTTTCTAGTTTCTATGTTAAATATGGTTATAAACTAATGTGGGAATCATTAACATCAGTTGTTCAACGTTGGCATCAATTGCGAGAAAAATTTAAATAATCTTTGTTTTTGATTGTTTATATTTTTTTTTTTGAAGGCCAAGAAAAATATTTTTTCTTATTTCGAAAATAATCTTTTCATTTTTCTTTCTTCTATCATAACCGAATCAAAAAAAAATGATTGTTTTATTTCTTTTCGTCCCTTTACTATGAATAATGACGAAAGATTAGCAGCATGTATTACGTGCAAATATGCACACTGAGTTATTAAAGATACATGCATTTCAATTTTTACATTGTTTTGCTGTTTTTTTTATAAAGGCAGCAAGCGATTGTTATCTAACCATTTGTTTGCTATTGTTAAAAACGGCAAAATAGTTAATCGACGATAAGAAGCACAGCTGTCTTGCCCATTTAATTTATTCCCGTTTGTTTTCTTTCAGAATGGAACACTAAAAATGACAAGTGGTAGTGCTACAAACAGTGCGGTTCCTGGACCTGTTGTGCCAGATGGTGGCTGGGGATGGATTATTGTATTTGCATCTCTTATGATACATTTTATAATGGATGGGTTAGTAAATTATTTTGTTTAAATCCTAATTTGATTTTAACATAATAGAATAACATATTCAATGGGTGACGTATTTTTACGTCCCATGATGGAAAATTTAAACAAAACTCGAGGACCTGTTTCAACTATTTTTGGAATTTTACCGGCAATAACACTTGCAACAGGTGAAGAGTTTTTCTTTGAGGATGAATTTTGTTATATAATAGTAAATGTTTAGGACCTATTGCAACTATATTTACAAATACATATGGATGTCGAAAGGTGACAATGGTTGGAGCTTGTTTAGCTGCTGCTGGTTTTTTAGCGAGCTATTTTTGGGCGAATATTTGGTTTTATTATCTAGCGATCGGTATTATTGGAGGTATATCTTGCAAGAAATTCTTTTTTTTTTTGGTAATCGTAAATTTCTATGTGAATAGGCATTGGTTTTGGTTTAATCTATTTACCAGCTATTGTTTCTGTTGGTTTCTATTTTGAAAGTAAACGTTCTTTTGCTATGGGTATTGCGGTTTGTGGTTCTGGCTTGGGTACACTGGTATTTCCAGCCGTTATGCCATATATTATAAATGCACCATTATGGTTTGATTATGAAGGTGCTCTTCTACTTGAGGCAGCAGTTATCTTTATTTGTGTTATATTTGGCGCTTTAATGGTATTGGTTATCTCGTTAAAAAAAGTTCTTTTTAAATTATTCTCTGTTTTAGGTTCCGTTGCCACAAGAACCGAGTGAAATAAGACGCGTAGAACGAAAAGCACGAGCAGAAGCTAAACGACAAGCACTAAAAGCAGGAACTACAACTAGTCCAAATGATGAACAACAAAATCAATTACTTCCGACGAATCAACAAAGGTTTGAAATTTAGATTTGTTGTTTGAATAAATATTTTATATGAAAAACAACCTATTTCTTTATTTGACTAGATCATGTTTGGTGAATGTTTTTAACAAAAAAAAAAGAACGCAGTTTTTATTGTAAATTTCAAAATCTTTTTTTTCATTAGTAATTAATTCTGTAAAGGATTCTTTATAAGATAGACAAGTACTCAATATTGATTTCTTTTCGTTAAATAGGAGGAATTATGGTGAGGATCGATACTTAATTGAGGTTGAGAGCGAGAAAATATTTAAGACGCGATATCAGCTTATAATGATGATTTACTCTTCAGGACTATGTTTCCTGTTTTATATATTTAAAATATATTTTATGGTATTATTAGATGATAAGCTCTGTCGTCCAAATGAATGCAATAAATCTCAATAGTCTCTTGTTGCGCAAGATTAGTCAATATTCTGTGATATTTCAAGATATATCTGATTCGTATTTTGTTTTAGTGAAATTCCATTAGAAGAAGTAAATGTAATTCCAAGAGAATCAACAGCTGCTGTTCCTGTTGAACAAGAATATCAATCGGACAATAAACGCCGAGTATCACAATCAGATGTGAAGAAAAATGACCTCTATATTAATAATCGTTCAGACAAAACTCTTTCGAGATCTCATGAAAATGTGTCGAAAACAGTGACAACTGATGTACCAGTTGTAGTCTCACGCAAAGATGCAGTTTATCAAGGTAGTTTACATAATATTCCATTATATAACGAGGATACTAATGAATATCATCGTCAAATGATAACAACAAGTGATATGACAAATGAAACAATGGATGAAACAATTAAAAAAGTTCAAAAAAAATCATTTTTTTCAAAAATTGTGGAACAAATTGATCTTAGTTTATTAAAAGATGCTGCATTTGCTTTATTTGCTATATCAAATTTTTTAACAAGTCTTGGTTTTAATGTTCCATACAATTTTGCGAATGATTTAGCTGCTGATGCTCAAGTTATTGAACATAAAAGACATTGGATTATTATGTCAATTGGTATTGCCAATTGTTTTGGTCGAGTCATTATTGGTTATTTAGCTGATCGACGATGGGTAACAAAAAAATTTAAAAAATCTTTTCATATATTATTTATTCTTTCTTGTTTTATTTTTATTTTTATTGAGGTTAATCGTTTAACATTATACAATACAACATTAATAATTGCTGGTATAGCTACAATGTTTGCACCATTTTGTAATTATCATGTTCAAACACATATAACTTATGCTGGATTATTTGGATTTTTTTCTGGTGGCTATGTTGGTTTAACATCAATTATTATTGTAGATTTAGTTGGTGTTGATAAATTATCTGATGCTTTTGGTGTTCTTTTATTATTTCAAGGTGTTGCTGTTGCTATTGGAACACCAATTGTTGGTAAGAAAGAATAATCAAGATAAATTTTCTTTCAATATACTTAATTTTTTAAGGTACAATGCGTGATGCATTTTCGGGTTTTGATCGACCTTATCTTTGGCCATATTTAATATTTGGTGGTTCAATTTTATTAAGTGGTCTTATTCTATTTGCTATTCCAGTATTAAAACGACGAAAAGAACGTCGTCAAAAACCAACACAACATCAATTACAAATGGGAGTTTTATCATTTTCAAAACAAAATCTATCTACACCAGAACAACAACAACAACTTTAATTAAACAACTTATCTTAAACAATAAAGCTCAATTCAAACTTAAATCTTGTGATTCAAAACATCTTTCTTTTTTGTTTTTTTTCATCAAGTTTATGATTAATCATATTAATTCTGTTTTTTTTTCGTTACTATTGCTTTCAGGGATTTCTTCCTATAACAGTATTACATACGCAAATAAGAACAGTTAATCTATCTCAATAGAGTTTACGCTATCTTTTTTTCTAATTTCAGTATAAAAAATTCATTTCTGTTGTTATTTATCTTCTAAAGAATTTGAGTGTATCATGTCGAACTATTTGTTGATTCACAGTTCTACTTAAGAACAAGAAAAAAAAGATATCATGCATGGTTTTTTTTTCAATAGAAAATCTTGTTCTATTATTCATTTTTCTTGTTGTATTGCCACGTTTTAGATTAGTGTATGGTTTTTAAACCAGTTTTAAAATAAAATTTTCAAAGTTTTGTTTTTCAGATGCCACTACCTCCACCACCGCCTCCTCCGCCACCGCCATTGCCATCAGCATCGATGACATCTAGTGCCGATCGATCTGGCCTCTTAAATGACATTGGAAACTTCAAGATGGGCGCTCTTAAAAAGACGACTACTAATGATAGAAGTGCTCCGATTATTGGAGGTTCAGCTAATAATAATAATAATAATAATAATACACGAATTTCAACAACAAATCGATCAAATATAAATGAAAGACCAAATACAGCTCCTCTAATTAAATCAAATCAACTTAATGCAACAATGTTGAAACAATCTGCTATGGGTGGGTCAACTGGAAAAGTTAAAAGACCATCAATTTCACAAGTAATCTCTTCTACTCCTCCTCCTCCACCACCACCACCACCTGTGCATCAACCAGTTGTAAAAACATCTTCATTTGATCAGTCTCGTCATGAAAGTAACAAGAAAAATGTTTTGAAAAATGAATAAAAAGAAAAATACTATTTTTATTTTATTTAGTTGATGGTGCAGTTCCAACACGAAATTTTACTCATCAAGCACCAAGACTTCCTCCACGTGAACCTCCACCACCACCACCATCGAATGAAAGTAAACCAAAACTTGGACATACATCATCTTCGTCAACAGGTTTATTTTCTCTTGTTTTTTTTAAAGAACTTTTTCAATAAACATTTTAGGTTCTCAACAAAAAGTCACTCGTGCCCCACCACCTCCTCCACCACCTCCATATTCTTCGACTAATAATGGTAATACATTATCAAATAATATTTCAAAATCTCCAAAACAGATCAATTCTAATGGTCCTCCTCCTCCTGCACCACCGCCACCTCCACCTCCACCTCGAGGTGTAGCTCCGACCAACAATAATAGTACAATCCGTCGAATACCTTCTGACTTTGTTGATCATTCATATTCTGATCGACGATACGATCAATCAAATAGTGCAGCACTTGATTATGATCATCATTTCGAAGCTCGTTTTCGATTTACTCCACTTGAATATCTACCAATACCTGAAAGATGGCAACCACCTCCAGCACATACAAGATCTTCAAGACATCATATAAATGTTCATTAAAATCAATTTCATTTTATTTTTTTTCTCTCTCTATTAAAAGAAAAATACAGTGATCATCTCTGTTCAGCGCTGTATTTATTATTCATTGCTATACATATATATTTTTTTTCTTTTGTGTTTATTCTTAACTTGCTCTTTTTTTTCCTTATGTACATAAAAACATGTCTATTAGGATGAACTGACTTTGAATTACAAATTTAAGATATAAAATAAAAGAGTATGTCAAATGAACTTAATTCAAATCAATTGCAAGCAGCTGGTGAACTTGAAATCGAAATGATGCAAGATCTTTATAAACGGTAAGAAAATTAATTTTACTTAAAAAAAAAATGAATATATTTGTTGAAATAAAGAATGACAACGGCTTGTCATAAAAAATGTGTTATTCCAAGATATAAAGATTCGGAATTGACCAAAGGTAGATTTTATTCGAAAATTGATTAGATTTATCATTTGAATATTTCTAGGTGAATCTGTTTGTATTGATCGATGTGTTGCCAAATATATGGATGTAACAAATCAAATGTCTTTTTATCAAATATCTTTTTTTTTTCTAAATATATATTTATTTAGGTTCATGATCGTATTGGTAAACATTTGACAACAATGACATTACAACAACAACCATCGTTACAAACTCAACAAGCCAATGATCCATCACGTGTTGTTGGATCATATAAATAACAATCAATCTTCCATTTTTAGTGAATTAGGCAATCGGGTTTTTTTTTGTTACCTATGCTCACCTTGAACTTTTCTCTACATACTCAACAAAAAATATATGATATTAATCTGGCTAATATCAGATTCTAACTATATCATTGATGAAATTTTTATCACTATTTAAAGATATTATTACTCATGTTGTTTTAATATTAAGTATGTTAACAGATGCCATTAACAGAGATGCGACACGATATGTGATGGATCAGTCCTTGTTTTTGTTTAATTTTGTCATTTTTAAGTTTTCAGTACAAATATTCACTTGTTACATCGATTGTCTTTCTTAAATGTAGAAGGTCTTTAGTCTACCTACTCATCTGTTAAATCACTCATAAGATCATTGCTAGTATATGAACCATTATTCACTAGACCTTGAAAAGCGGTATCTCGTAGCAATTCTTGTTCATTCGAAAATTGAAGAGTTGAAAATGTCATTATACTTCCGACATCTAATATTGCTCGTAAACACAAATTAATCCGTTATAAATTTGAATATTATTTAAATTCAATAACAACTCAGTGTCTGAATTACGATGTAAACACTATTTATCTATTTAAAAGCAAACAAATAACAAAAAAATTAGTTAACAACTTAGCACAACAAAGATTGATAAATATATTCATATTAATAGTTTAATACATAAGAATTATAAATAAACTATCATCAAGTATTGAAACACTTACAATAAATGTCATCTGATGAAGTTTCGGTCTAGGAAGAATAATAGAACCTGAATGTGAGACTTATTTCATATGTGAAAAGAGAAGGAACAACCTAATTATTAAAGGGAACAAACAGTTTATATATACAAATGTAGTGAAACCTTGAAATATATGAAAGAAAGAAAGAATCGAAAAGAACTACATAGTAGATGTAGTAAAAGCACTAGTAGGGAAAATTTTAACATACACTAAAAAGTAATGACGAAAAAAATCGCCAAACTGAACTATCACTACACCAACATAAAAATTCTAAATGTTTCAACTAATCATCTAATTATTATATTATTAAAACATACTAAAGTATTTCTTATATCAAACTATTATTATTAAATGAGAACTTATTCATAATCAACAAGTCTCATTAAAAGATCAGTCTCTTTTTTCTTTGCATTGGATATGCAATAAGTATACATTAGATTTTCCATACTACTTACAAATAGAAATATTCTAGATTAATTCCAATCTAATCCACACATGGAAAGTTCAGTTTGTGTGAGCTGATCTATTCTAATAGTCTCTTGAATAGTTTATCTGACCTTTTGGATATTGAATTATCTTAAGTCTACTGAGTACTTACCCTGGAAGTCAATGATCTAACAGTTCCTCAGACATAAAATTAGTAACAATTCATTTCAAATTGACTTTATGTTAAAATATTCGAAAACAATTCTTTCTTTCCCATTCACTATAATAGTTCATAAGATGCTCGTTGAAAAAGAAACAACACTAAAAAGACAATAGCACTGTGAGAGAGAGAGAGACTTAAAATGAACAATTATTGGTTTAGCTAAGCACACAGAGTGTTGAGACGAACTGTTAGTCACCACCACACTTTTACTGTCTTTCGTCTTCATAATGGACTAATATACGACGTGTCATTGCCAGCAATAAAACAGTTCAAGTCAGTTTCCTTTTGTTTTTATTAAATTGCTCAATAGATATCAGTTATTAAGCATATTTAAATGTTGCGGTCTTTGAGAATCATCGTTTGAGTGATATTATATCTCTTGACAATAAAGAAGCTATCAATTACTTGAACTATAGACCTCAATTGTTGATTAATTCATCATAACATTCAATGTCAATTTTAAATTCATAGAAAATTAAAAAGCTGACAACAGAAAATATCCTTCAGCTGTCAGAGGAAGTTTATTCCCATATTTTGATATTTTTTTTCGTTTACATTAATCATTTTCACATGCACATTCTAATGAGAAAAAAAAGTACAAACTCGAAAAGTAAATACCTATGATCACTGAATGATCAGAATATATAATTGGTCACATTTACCTATTTCTAATACACAAATTTTATTCTGAACACAGTATAGACGATAAAGCGATATACACCATTTGTATGTATATTTAACCTGATATAAGAGAAGAACAAAGAATTTAAACAATTCAATTTTCTCTTTCTCTCTCAGATTGTTAAAAAGAAAAAGAGATGAAGTTATTTTTGTATATATGTGGCTTTCAAAAATGGAATAAAAGCGGTAAGTGATATGTATCATTTGTTATTTAACTATGTCATTTATATTTAATAAAAAAGAGAGATGATTTCAAGCCATAAAAAACAACATAATGTCTCATCCTCACTAAAGCAAAGAAAAAGCTTGACTATAAAATGAAAAATAAACATAAAATTCAATGAAATAGAACAAAATATACTTAACTTCGGTAAGATTTAACGGTGTCTCTCTTTCCTTGATGGATTAACTACTTATACTGTATCTCTATTTGTTAGCTATAACAACAAGACACAAGATTTTTTTTTTAAAACTAATTGCTCTTGTCCCTTTTGTTAATGATAGTCATTCGAATAGGACGAGAGAAAGAAAAAAAAAGCGATCGATATATTTGACCAATCGGCTGTGTGTTTCCTTCTTTCGTTCTCTCTCTGATTTCACAAAAATTGATAAGAATAAAAATTAATAAATTTTCTTCTTCTTCTTCTTCTTCTTCTAATCTTGCTTATGTACGTTGTTATATAGCATCAAAACCACCTTATTGTTATATATTATTAATCGTTTATGCAATAACAAATTCGCTAGAACGTATGTGTACATTATCTGAAATTTATCAATATATTCAAGATCATTATACATATTATCGATAAAATGAACAGCTTTGGCAAAATTTCATTCGTCATTCATTATCATTTAATGATTGGTTTGTTAAAGTTCCACGTAGTGCTGATCGTCTAGATAAAGCTTCATATTGGATATTACATTCCGATAGTGAAAGTATGTTTGAAAATGGTTATTACTTACGACAACAAAATAAAAGATAAAAATAATAATAAAGCTAATTAATTACCAACTCAATCAAATCATAGATAAAAAAAATTGATTTACCCGGTTCATCAGCCCAGCAAGTAACGACACTATCACAACAATATTATTATCATTATAAAACTGAATATCCATCAATCATATATACACATCAAACATAACATCTAAATAATAATGCTTTACAATATGACCATAATTAACAATATTTTTTACATAAAATATCTCCATTAAATACATTTCATATTGATAATCTTATTAAGTATGAAACGACAAATCATATTCTCGATAGAACAAATAATAATTATTATTATTATCCAAATTCATCATAAGTTAATCTAGTTTCGTCTTTTAAATAAGACTAAATATAATCAGTGTTTTTTTCGTTTATATATCAATATCTGCCATTTCTTATTCTCAACATCAAAAAACATGTTTGTCAAAAAAAAAAATTTAATTAATCTCTTTTCTTTATTTTTTATTGATCAGTCAGCCAATTCCAATAAGATGCACGTTCAGTAAATATTCAAGATTATACTTGTGTTAAAAACAGTTACAAATGAGAGAATATCACATCTACTTGTTGAAAACATCTAATTGAGAATTTATCTCTTGTTTAATCAATTGAATAAAGAATCTGTTCAATGAGAAAAAACTCTTTCGTCTTTTAGCAAATATTTGTTCCTTATTACATGCAGACATACAAGAAAAATTTTGTTTTACAATTTGTTCGATTTGTTTGTCTCTCTCAATGAGACATCTTATTTGCAATAAAAAAAACTTTAGTAATGATGAGACGTATCTGCAGAGAATCTCTCTCTCGTTCACTACTTGTTCGTATAATTGTTAATACTGACACATACAACACTATACGATAAGTAGAAATGAAAATTTGTATTCTTCTTTTGGATAGTTCCTTTTTTCTTATTTATATAAATCATTAATGACACATCAATATAAAGGTAATTGTGAATTCACATTAGAATTGCAAATGTAAAGTATGTAGAAATAATCAAAGATTGTTGTTTATTATTATCTCAATATCAATCTTCAGAATATATCTCCTTCAACTCGATTCGACTTTTTTAATGTTTTCGTTTCATTCGCCAAGAAAGTTCATATAAAAAGACAAAAAATGCTTGTATTTTTTTTGACGAATCATATAACGGGATTTTTCAAAAAATATATCATAAAAAAAGATTGTCTGTCTGTGTCTTAATCTTCTTTTTTTTTTCATCTTTTCTCTCCTAATTTACTCAGATAAGAAATCAAACCCTCCATCTCTTTTTTTCTCTCTTCTACTTTTTTTTTTTGCTTGAGTTAAGTTTTTCTTGATGATCTGTGTAACTTGAATGCATGTCACAATGACGATATTTTTTTGACGAAACAACACGTATGTACTCTCAATTTCTTGCCCGTGCTGTTTCTTTGGCTCTTTTACTTTTCTTTAATACTTGAGTGTAATCCTTCAACAAGAAAGAAAATCTGATTCGCCTATCGGATGATTGAATTATAAGAGAAGCGGATACATATACACAGCAAAACGGCGTTCTATAGAGAGAAAAGAAGCAGAAGAGATTTTGATCATACTATTATGACGATAGCCAAGAGAAGAAATAAAAAAAAGAACACGATAGAAAGAGAAAAAGGAAAAACAAGAGAAATAAAAAGCAGACTTTTTAACTGAGAAATTGATTTCCGTTTTTCTTTTACTTAACGGGGATTTGTCGCGTTTTTTTCGTGGTGTTATCGTTATTGTCAAAAATTTGTTTGTATTATAATTAAAATATACACAATCAAGCTAGTTATTCTATTAATTTGTAAATAAGGATCATATAATGGTCAACATGAGTGAGGATCTATCAATTTAAATATTTGTTAACTTAGTACCTTCTCAAAAAGAAAAAATGCAATCATGAAACTAGTACTGGTGATGAATCAACATTATCGTCATCATCATCAAACAATACAATATCAGAATTTAAGCCTAAATTTGATGAATCGGTTGGATTTCAACCACGGCAACGACTACCAAGTAATCCAATTGTTAGTCAATAACAATTAGATAATGCAACTCTTGTACTTGTACAATCTTTATCAACAACCAAAAATTGAATCCGAGTCATCAGCAATAAATTATTATAATAATTCATCAAATAATATGTTAACAGCATCATCTTATGATTTAAATAATTCTGTTGAAAAAGTAAACATTGATTTAATTTCATCTATACAAGGTCAATTATCAACTACAACAGTTGGAACTAATCATCGTGGCAATACACCATCAAAACCTCCGTATTCTTATATAAGTCTTATTACAATGGCTATTCAACATGCACCAACAGAAATGGTTACATGAAATGATATATATCAATTTATAATGACTGTTTTTCCATATTATCAACAAAATCAACAACGTTTTCGTTTTGTTTGTTTCTTCTATGATTGGTATGAAAACTGTGAATCGATAAAAAAATTATGAAAATTAATTCATAACAGTATTATACCAATAAAGAGTATGCAGCACTAAAATCTTGTAAGATTACTTAAGAAATTGATCGTGACTGCGGCAAAAGAAGATGAACAATATTAATAATATATTTTAATTATAATAAAGAAAAACACGATTACCAAAAAAAAAATTTTCTCATATAAATTCAGTTAGGAAAATTCTAATTTCTATTGAATATGTTTTAATCGAAATGATATTTAAAAGAAAATGTTTTTCTTGTAGATTTTTCTTTGAAATAAATATCATTAAAAGATAAATGATATTTATTAAATAACTGATGAACAATCATAATTGAATCACCTATCAATGAAAAACAAAAAAAAACGTTTTCTCAAATTGAATCAACAAGAGTATTTACCTTGTGTATTAGTTGGATAATTTTTGATATCTAACATAAAAAATGGTAATTCAGCTTCAAGAAATAGACGTTCACCTAAAAGATTTGAATCTATTGGATGACCCTAAAATAATTCTAAATTATTAAAAATAATTAATAAAAATAATGAAAATAATACTTGAATAAGACTTTGAATAACAACATCAAAGAAAACATACCATCGTTGAGCATAATAACTAAAAAAGAAAAAAAAATCTGAAAATATTATTAATCTAATGTTTGATAACATACTTTTGAATCATTCCTGACCAAAATTTATTTGCATAATCATACAAATCTAATGTATAATTGTTTCCCCAAATTGATACTTGAAGTTTGGCATTAAAATTATAAAAATGAATACTTTCTTCAGTTTTTGCAAATTGTAATGCATCTCGAATCCAATTTCCTAATAAAAACCGACGATCAGAAGCTAATACTAATTCAGTATCTGATAGTATATCAACAAGAATAGCCGCTTGAGTACTAAAAATATATCAATCGATTTCTAGTACAACAAAAAAAAACTAATATTTTTTTTTGCTAACAGACCTAACACCATAAAGATCACTTTGATTATAAGCTGACATAAATTGAGTATAAACACTAAGAAATTTATATTGAAGAACTTCTTTAGTTATATCAACTAAATCATATCGAAATAAATCTGAATCAATTTCATTTGATGCATCAACTAATAACTCCCATGCTAACAATAAAGATTTTATATCAAAATTGATCTATGAAACATTTTCAATAAAAAAAATCCTTATTTAATATGTTTACAAAATTTACATCTTGTTCTCTATAAAGTCCCGGTCTACTTAACATAATTGAACGATCACCGTAAAGATTTTTTTGATAAACAGAATTTCCTAATAATTGCCATGCATATAATGCTGAACTAGGTACTTGAGGATCACCTATATATCGACGCATAACAAAACCAACGAGCCTAATTTATTAAATCTATATATTGAAAAAAAACTAGGAAAAATTTGAATAAAAATTACCAATCGTTTAATTCGATTTCATTTAATGGACTACGCCATGATTGTTCAAGAGCAAATTCATACATGATTTCATTTTGATTAATACCTTCCATTGTTATACCAACTCCAATCATATGATCACCGGAAAAATTTCGTGCTGCTTGTGGACCCTAACATTACAAAAAAACATGATTATTTTTCAATGAAAACAATGTTTATTTACATTAGTAACATTAACAAGTGAACCAAATAGAAAATTATTTCCACCAAAATCATGTAACATATTCCATATATAATAATGTCCATAAAACGATTCAAAACGTGAATATTGTGGAATAGCTTCAGAAAATAGATCCAATAGAATTAAATGACCCTAAATTCAACTTATATATATATATATATATATATTGTTTTTTCAATGGAAAACCAAAACTATTCCTACTATTGGAACTTTACTAAGATAACTTTTGACTCGATCAGCTGTCCAAAAATTGGATAGAAATAACCAAGCTTGCATTACCCTTTATCATCAATAAAAGAAATAGATATGTTATTAATTACAAAATTCTACCAAATAGCATTTGGATCAACTGTTTGCATAACTTGAATAATACCTGCATTAACATCAGCCAAATATTCAAGATCACTGAATCAAATTTCTATAATTAATATGAATTACCAATGAAGATAAACTTACCTAATCGGTGGTGTCATTTCATTGAATAGATCGCAAGCATAATAATGAGAAGTTAAATTGAGTAATGTTATTGTCTATTATAATATATTATTATTTATGTATATTATATGTCAATAATTCAGAGGTAGATTGCAATATCAACAATCAGTTCGTCATCAATTTTAGTTATTTAGCCACTTTTCTATTTCTCAATAAAATGATTAACTATGAAAGATTTCATCGTGAAATTTGAGCATTACGATAATTTTTTCTTTTGAGCAATTATATTATATAGAATTCATTCAATGATATGTGACAAGCATCAGAAAGTAGGCTCGTAAAGTGAGAATGACCTTTCGATAAATCAGTTGAAAGATTACATTGATCAGTCTAGCATACATAGACTAATCCTCGTACCACTCGTCAAAAATTCATACCAGTTCTATTAGTGCTATGATTCGTAATAAATGAATTGAAAAAAAAACTGATGATCCCTTTTTTATGTTAGGAGAAGTATCAAATAATCTCAGCTAGCTTAGTGAGTTACTGTCAGAATTTGAAAAACAATGTAATTGGGCTATTTCATCTAATTGACATACTTCGTTCAATAATTCGACTCCAACTTTTTGAAAAAATGGATCAGTAGGATCAAGATATGGTAAACTAAAATATATAATTTGTTTTTTATTAATAAATATTATTTGATGAATATTCGAAGACATACCAAGATTCATTGCAACCAAAACCAACCCAATCTGACGAATAATAAAATTTTGCTGAAGGAAAACGTCTAAACAAAATAATCAGATCAATTCTTTCTCTTCATTTAAAAGAATGTACAACTCATCATTTAAATTAATATTCAGATCGAATTAAGAAAAAGTATACATCGTTATTCTCTACTCACGATGGTGCTGTTCGAGGCATAAAACCAGTAAAAGTAGGTAAAACTGGTATCATTCCAATATCTGTCATTCGTTGAATAATCTGTTTAGCAAGTTGAAATTGTGATTGATGCCAACTGTTTGACAAAGGACCAGCATGTTTTTGAAGATTGCCCATACGAAACCTTTTTTTTCTTGTTGCATATAAATAAACAACTAGATATATGAAATATTCTTACCAAGCTAAAAATGCAGGACCAGTAAAATAATCATCAAGTTCTGATTGTGGAAAACCCATTCGAAGAAATACCTAAATAAAATTTAAAAAAAAACAATAATTTTAGTGTGAATTTAAAATATGGACTTTATTATATATATATTCCATTCCAGTTGTTGCATAGACTAAATTAATACCATTCATAGCCATCCAATCGATTTCTTTTTCCCATCTTTATACAAAAACAAAAACTATTAAGAAAAAATCAAGTAAATTTTTTACCTTGAAAAATTCCAAAAGACAGCTGAGTAACTAAATGTACATGGATTTCCATACCAACGATACAAATCATTAGCAACAATTCGAATAGGTTTACTTATTGGAAATAATGTTCTATTAGATATTCGAATATTTTTTCCGGACCAATAAACTATTAAAAAAAAAATTAATATTAAAATTATATTTCATATATTGTATCATACATGAACTATCTGCTATATATTTCAAATAATAATTAAAAGCCCAAGCAGCAGCAACACCTGTTGATGCTGAAATTAGTATTGAACCTGGTGTTGATCCATTAGATAGTTCAAAGACATCTTTGCCATTGACAGATAAATTGGCTTTGATTGAAATTTGAAAAAAACTAGCAGATAGAGCATCATCGAGCACTCGTGATATTAAATCAGAAACAGCTTTTGACGTAGATGCTGGAGAAACAATCGGTTTCGGCCATATGATATCATTAGCAATTGCATTCGATTCTTCAAAATAATTTTTAAAAAATTTACAAATTTACATATAAATGACTATTCTGCATTGCAAATCAGAAGGTTCTATGAAATTATTTTTCGAATAATTTTTAGTAGATGAATGATGATCTATGAGACACTCAATAAATTTATCTGATAAAAGCATCTATCCATCTAGGTATTTAAACTTGCACGACGATTTATTTAGACATCAGATTTTAATTTATGATTTTGAAAGCATGCAAATTTTTGGTAGCAGAATTCCTAGAGTAACATAGAACAATTATCCAAATTTCTATTTGCATGTTAAACAAAAATTAATTTATTATTTCCTATGAAAAGTATGATAGGTTTAATTAATACTTTATATTATAGAATGAATTCAATCTAGTGTTGTGTTCAGTTTTTCTCTTCAGGAGAAGCGATTCAAAACTTTGAAATTACAAACACATAATATATGGCACGATAGTCCTAAGCTTCGATAGGACAAATTTCATCTCTGGAGAAGTTTCCTCCTTGCTCCCTATCTTCACACTGGATAAAACAACAATTCAACTATTATTAACAATACTATAAACTGAATAATGTAATGAAAATCTGTTTGACGAATCCATTAAAGGATTACGATAAATATCTAGGAAGTTCAACAATCGTATTCTAACGAGAATCCTGTCGAACTAATTTCTTTTCAACTGAATCTAATTTGAGAATGAAATTAAATTCGAACACAAGATAATCGAATGTGATTCCCATGGGATCTTGAAGGATCTGGTAAGGATTGGTTGTGGTATTGATCGATGTGCAATCACCACCATCGCGACTATCTCGGTTTTTTGATAATTGTCGAAGCAAAACTATGTATAATCATCATTACATGAAGGAAACAACTTCAATACCCTCGTCTATCTCTTGTGCCTTCCTAGTAAATAAAATATTATTTACATAGACCTTCAAACACTGATTTGAAATAAAGTAAAACTTAATTTTTTTTTGATAAATATATTAAAAACAATGGAACATTTCCCGGAAAAAATTCTATCAACTTACGATGCAATGCTAATAAACCCACAAAACACAATAATAAAGAACGTATCATCATCTAAAGAGTACAGGTTTAGTTTATTCTTCGTTGTTTTTCGTCTACACGAAGATATAGAATAAGATAAAAAACAAAAAGAAAGATCAACAAAAAAAATGCAAAGAATAGTATAACATAATATATTTATTTCTTAAAAAGACGTCAATGTTCTTTCTTATTGTTTATGATCATATAACATGAACTGTTTCTTTTTTAATAATTGTCATTAATGAATTAAGATTAGTTGACCATTGATTAAGAATTTCTTGTAGTGATTGTTTTTTTGTTGAAATGTAACTACATCTTGAAGACGATCAATTTTTGCATTTATAGTTTTATTTGAAACAAGATTTGATAAAAATTGTTCAGCTTCATCTTATGTTAAATGAAGTAGTTCGGCCATTTTGTGTGTATGAACACGAATGTAATATTTTGCCACAATACGCATATTCTTTTCTTTAACATAAACATAATACAATCAAATTTTAATAAGAAAAAAGGAGCAAAAACGCAAGAAAAATGAAAATGGATGTTCAACGGCACGAACTTTAAAATCTTCCCAACTTTTTTTTCCATCATCATTATTAATAAAAACATTCGTTGGTGGATCATCTCTTATACCATTTTTTAGTTCATTTTCAAAATTTTTATTTATTTCCACTTGTATTTTGGAATTTTCTCAAGATTTTTCTCAAGAAATAAACCATGTAAAAAATCCGATTGTTTATTATTATATGGTGATAAAGTCAAATACAGTACAACATATTTTAATACTTTTTTCACATTTTTTTCTGAATCTCATTTTATTCATTGTGTTTCATAATAATGTTTATAATATTGACAAACAAACTGAATAAAACAGGTTCAATTTGTCAAAGGAATAGCTAATCGTATTTCCGCATTAATGGATTCCTTGTGCCTCTATACTGGTGTCCATATTTTCCCTTAACTCATTGGATTCCCTTAAACGGTTATCACAATCCTAATAAAACATTCAATAAAAAGAATATGAGAGATAGCTGTCGCAGGATTCGAAATAATAAACGTTCGAATAAATTTTTAAACGATATAAACAATTTTCTTTTCTCTTGAGAAATTTTTTATTAACTCGTCTATGTTTTCGTACTATTCAGTGACAAGAAGTCTGCGAACTCGAATGATTAAAAAAGATCATTTTATTATTTTGAAAACTAAAAGTGCTATCAACGTTATTTTACAAGTAACTGCTTCTAGCATTATTAGAAACATGTTTTTAATAAGAATAGCGGATCGAGAACAAACTAAAACTATTAAGATTTATATCATATACACCTTGTAGTTTCCTATGAATTATAATAGGCGATACTCTTTCATCAGTCACACATTGATTAGCACGATGCAATAGTGAAAACACAGGATGTTCCAAAAGTTTGCAATAAAACGAAACTTGAATAACTCTTCAGCAGTTTAATCGATTTATATGTTTCTTTCATCATTTGATTCCATATCAATCAAAGTTTTATTCGGTATATTTCATATATAATGACTGTATCTATGAATATTAGAATAAAAATTCTTCTATTAGTCAACAAGTTCGAGTCATCGAAGATTGAAAAACGAAAGCTGCTCACGGAATTCGACAAAGAAACACCAAATAAACAGGATATTAAAGAATCCTCTCAATGAATAATGGCAGAGTTCAGTAAATAATGCAATAAAATGAGACTTCTTCGAATTTTAACAATAAAGTACATCAATTTCAGAACAACATTTTTCTTATCATGGTAGATTCAAAGACGTAGTTCTATTCGATGAGCTACATACTCATATCACTTAGCGCCATTCAATTTTTTTCTATGGAAACGCATGAAAGACGATGGTTACTACAGATTACGTTGCAATAACAACAAGAATCGTTAGCGAAAATAAAACGATTTCATAGAAAATTCTATCCAGTGTCATTTTTCAAATATTTGAAAACAGTAGATTTGCGTGTTTCAGTTCAGTGTGATCATTTTGAGCAGTAAGCACAAATAAAATTATATAAAATAAAACTTTAAAAAACGTGGGATAAAATTATAGAAAGTTCATCGAGGTTGCTTTTATTTTTTTAAAGTTGTTTGCTTTCTTTTTTCTGGTGGATTTCTGGAACGCTCTAGATATACAGTGTCATCTAATTATGAAGATTGCCACTGTTGATAAAAAGAAGGTATCTCATATATACCTATACTGAATTCAGATGAATTCTCAAGAATCTCATTTCATTTTGAAATGGAATGCTTTTTTTAATGTAGAATAAAATCAAATAGATCATTTTATTTAATAGAGTTTTCGCGTACATTAAATTCAGAAAATTAAATACGATTTTTATAGCAGAATGTTTAACATCTCTGACTTTATTAATACGATGAAGAATCCATTAAAATATGTTGATATTTACTATTGAATTAACTATATCTGACAATTAGCAGATAGATATTATAATTAATATAATATCTCAATTGGTCTTATTATTTCTAATTAACAAATCAGTTAATTTTTTGGACTATTTATCTTGGAAATAGCTTCAACTATTACTAATTAGCTTAACAGTTCAAATCCTTTTAATTACATGACGGAGATTATTCATTCATCTAGAGAAAAAGTTACATATATAAAACATTTCCATGTCAATTCATACAAATAGAAGATCGACAACAAAGTATACAATAACATATAAAATGTATATAATAAGACTTATATGTGACTAATAATGCTTTGTTTTATTTAGAAATCTAATCTACAAATAACATGATTCTATTATTAACAAAGAATTCAAACAAACAATGTATTACAATAAACGATGTGCTGATAGTTATCAATAAGTCTTATCGATGAGTACGTATGAGATTTATTTTGATCAATCACACGTGTTGTCTACTGTTTCATAGAGAAGACGTGTTGATCATCGATCATCTTTATTTTTTATATAAAGACATGACGTTAAAAAAGGGCAACGTATCATTCAACTGCATAGGATAAGAAAGAAAGAAGGAGACTAATAACAAACGAATCGTTCTTTCTCTCATTCTATTTAACTTACTAGTTAACTCATACATTTCTTTATATGAAGATGAATATACTTCTGCTTTTGCAATTTATAACTATAAATGCTTTATCGCTTTCGAAAAAGGTTCCAATATTAACAATGACTGATCATCGTGTATTCGCTAATGTTAAAATTTATTCAAATTTTGCTGAAATAATTCAACCATTAGGTAAATTACCACTTGAGTTTTCTGCGGAAGATTGGTCTGATATACGTTCTGATTCAATTACTCTTATTGGTTCAAATATTAATATAACACAACAAACAATAACTGAAAAGAAACAGTCACTTAATAATCTTCAAATTTATGTTCGTTCGCCATCATCATCCAACACAGAAACAAAATTTCTTCGGGCAACAATGATTGATGAAAATCGAAATCTTGTTAAACTTATTGATAAAGATATTAGTAAAGAAGCTATTTATATTACTGTTCAATCTGATCATATTGTTTATAATGATGAACCATCTCAATCAAAATATTATGTTAATTTTACATATGATACAACAGATGCTGTTTATCTAAGTTATCTTCGTTCAAATCTTAATTGGAAAACACGTTATCAATTAAATTTATTTGAAGAATCAAAACAAGCAATTATAATTGCCATGGCTGATATTCGAAATGATGGAAAATCAAAAATTGACATTGAACATGGTGAACTTATAGGTGGTGAAATTAATTTACGTATGTTTGAACAACATCGATCAGAAAGATATGAAATTCGAGAACATGCTGTTATGTATGCACCAGCAAATGCACATTTTTCAACGACATCATCTCCACCAACAGTTTCACGAGGTGAAGAACTAGCAGGTTTATATTTATTTTCAATAAATCAATCATTTTCAATTGATGGAAAAACCAATTATCTTTTACCAATGTTTCGTCCACAAGTAACAGTTGAACGTTATGGATTAATTCGAAAATCATTTTTTGGTGTTACTGCAAATTCAAATGGTAAAGCTCAACGTTCATATCGTTTATCATCAGATCGTTTTCTTTCTCGCGGAAATTGTATTATACGTGAATATGATCATCTTGTTGGAGAAACATTCTTACCTGATTTAGCTGCAAATGATAAACATGATTTTTCAGTTGGACAAGATTCTGATATTATTTATAAAGAAAATATTACTTTAATATCTTCACGTACTTATAATCAGACTATTCAACCAGCAAGTAAAGAATTCGAGGAACGCACACAATCAGTTTATTTTATTAATTTATTATTACAGAATTTTAAGAAAAATCGTTCAGTCAAAGTCGAATATAAACAAAATATTTATGCTCGATCGGTAAAATTGACAGTAAATAATGCAGGATTTATCCAGGATGGATCAGTTATTAAGTTAACAACGACCTTATCAGCTGATGATGAAAAATCTTTTTCCTATAGAATTGAAATTATTCATTGAATTTATCAATTTCCGTGTTTTTCCCTTTTTTCTTTATTGTGTCTTGTTATCATTTATTTACTCATTATATGCAATAAATTAGGATTAATAACTATAAATATAAATCCAAAATCAGATGGGATCCTTTTGAAATGTATTAAGCTATCGGAAGAATTGACAACACTGATTGTAGAATGTTGAAAGCGGAATTATCCAATATCATATATTACGTTCTATGAGATTCGTGCATTTCCTATGAACAATCTTTCACATTTGTACGAATAAACAAATATCAAGAATAAAAAGTAAGCAGTACAAATCAATTATAAATAAATGACAGTACTCGTTTTTCTATAGAATTGTTGGTGCTATTCAATATCAAAAAAAGTAACAAACATTTGTTGCTTACTTTAGTGTTGCTCGAAAAATAACAATGCTTCCACATTAGGTGGTTAGCTTTCTTCTACGTAGTTTTGTTTTCTTCTTCAATATTGAATAGAATGATAAGACCAACGAGTTATTTTTCATATTTGGAAGTACATTAGCCTATAATTAGTTCATTTCTATTTACAAGAGAAAGTATCATAGATGATGATAAAAGGAAACAAGAAGAAAAAGAGTAACGTAGTATATAAATGATCACAAAAAGAAAATATTATTTTTCGAAAAATCAAAATCATCATGGCATTTCTGTTCTCTTAGTTGTTTTGGACTTCTTCAAAAGAAAGAAAAAGACTAGAATTTAAAAAAAAGCATCTTTGAACATTCTGATTAAGAAATAATGTCATATTATTTTTATTAATTCTTCATATAATCACAATATGATGCAATATTTACATAAGGTAGTTCTGTAATATATTATCAGTTAATGTAGAGAAATCGGTGTCAAAGAAATTGGCATAATAAAATAATCCGAACAATGTTCATTTTATTTTTGATTATAATGTAAAACAAAAGATGATCATATCATATTTCATAGAAAAGAAAATTTATATAAAATTAGAAACTATTTTAATTGTTTTTGACGTGTTCTTTTTAATGAAAAAAATAATTGTTTTATTTGTTGAGTATTAGTAGATGTTGATAATTTATTAAGAAATTGTCGAATACCAATGCGATTAATAACAGAATGTAAATCAATTTCATTACAAAATTGTTTAAATAAGAAATTCGATGTTAAACATTGTAATTGATCATAAGTTAATTGAAAATTTGGTGCATGATATAGATTATTATATGAAGGAGTAACTGTGGTTTTTGCTGAAAATTGTTTCAGAATAAATAATTGAACATTTAACTACACGAAAAAAAATAAAATTTTGAAAAGTTATGAATAAAAAGAAAAGTACTTGTTGAGAATTAAATAATTCATTTATTTGACGATATTGTATTAATTTTCGCCATCGATTTTGTAATGTATAACATGATCGTCCAGGAAATAATGGTTGAATTTGAGACCAACGAGCTAGAGAAAATTCAATATTGTCTCAATCACAGTTAAGCACAGAGCTGGACGACACGGTCATTCTATATCCTGTAGGACAGAATGAAACTTAGGTTTTTGTCGCGTCCTGTCGCTCGTCCGAATAAGTAATAGTAGAGAGACAGGACAGGACGTACAAACTAGTTGTCATTTTACAGAAGTTTTTCTTTACAATATTTGCATAATATTTCTAGTTATTAATTATACTTGATACTAACTATGAGTTGTACATGTCACTATTGACATAACAAACAGTGATAATTTTAACATCAATTTACAAGAGTGTCCCATTGGGAACATAAAATAATAATAAAATATAAAGAGATAATTAGTACTCTTTATGATTTGATGTTTTACTTTGTCGTTCTAACTTGATTTCCAAATTTCTGCTACATTCAAAACAAGATGACATGTGGATTTAATTGAAAAGTTTTCTCCAAATGACTTTACTTGGAACTGAGAAAAGCTCAAAGTTTTATTTCATTCAGAAAATAAAATATATAGAATTATTAAGAAGAAAAATCATCAACAACATCACCATGTTTATGGAACATATTTATATTCCTAGCTAAATTAGATGACAACAATGAAAAGTAGCGAATCCTTGGATATGTCAGATGCTTCATGCCTTTTCAAACATTTATTTATTCTATACAAAGTGATAATTGATCAATAAAGTACTTGATCATCAATAAAATCTACTCTAGCTCAATATAGGTTCAAAACATCCTTAAACTTAAATCAAAAAGATGTTGATATCCTTTTTTAACATTAGAATAGAGTCGTGATATATGAAAAAACTAGGCTATAAGATGACTGACAAGTTTAATCTATGCTTCTCTTAGTCGAAATTTAAAGAAGGTGTTATGTGCTCATCTCTAATCTCAATAAACTATTTTAGAATTTTATCGAAATCTTTATACACATCTGAAAATTGCAAAATCTTTATAAAGAAAAGTTTTTCGAACAATCAAATCTCGATAGTGTTTCTTGATGGAGACGATCTTGTTCTTGATGCTGTCTGTTTTCGTTCTAAAATGATTCTTCTTCATAATAATAGACATGTCATAACAGTGAATGTTTCAATAGAGTAAAAAACTTGAAAGATAAATTCAACGTTGAAAATATTTCATAGGTATCAAAACCTAGAAGGTATTAGAAACTTTTTTTATCACTAATTACCATTTTTAAGTTGGTGTTGTTCAATTAATAATTGATCATCTTTAGGTTGAAATTCTGTTTTGAGATGTTTTCTTGTTAAATGAATATATCGATGATAACATTTTGTTTGTGAACGACCAGGTACATCACAAGCAACTAAATTCCAATTGATTGTTCCACGATTTGATTGTTTTAGTACACTTCGAAGAAGAGCCTATGTTTAAAGAAAACAAGTATAGATCGATTATTTAAATCCAATAGTGAAAAAAGGCAAGAAAAAATATTTTGCATCAATTTAATTTGTACTTCGTCTTCGTCTACTTGCCATGGGCCTCGTCGAACATTTGGATCAATATTACGCCATTCGCGACGTACTGTTGAAAGATTATAGCCAAGTTTATAAGCAACTATCATTAAAAAAAACAATGAAATGAATTTTATAACTTTATTTTGATTACTTTTATTTAATGGAACGTAATTTTTATGACGATACTCTTCAATAACTTGTTTTAATTCGTTTATTTGATCTTTTGAAAATTTTCTTCAAAAAATAAATAATAAAATAAAAGTAACTTTTTCAAAATAAATAAACTTACATTTTATTCAAACGAGTATTCTCTAAAAACATATAACGATTTGCACACATATACGGTGAACGTTGAGGCTAAAAGAGATAATAAACAAGATGAAATGGCAATTCAAATTAATGCTTAAAATATATATATTTATGAGATCATATGAATAGAAAACAAGCAAATGCTCGTATATCTTTTGTTCAGAAGAGATAGATATTCAGAAACAAACGAAGTTATTCAGAAGGCAAAATTTTCTCTTTTTTTATTGAAATTTTTTATTTTTCAACAACAATCTTCTCTTCATCATGGACGTACTTAACAAAAAATATGCTCTCAACATATTTTCCTTTACAATGAAAAGTAATTTCATCATGTTTCACAATTACATTAAATAACATTTCCAACAACCGCTTTTTTTTTCAATTAGATATTTTCTATGAATTTCTTTGAAAACTCATTTAAGTCCTAGAATACCTGATCGGAGATATAGCACTCTGTATGTGTCTTTCCATGGCACCGACATCCTGAAGATATAGAAGAATTATCTATTATATCAATATGTGTCCATTACCTCTTATTTCTCCTCTATGTTCATATTTAGGTGTTGATCAAGTACATCAGAATTTACATGTTTTATTCTTGAATATTACTCAACGAGCAAGTGTTCTAAATATTATAAAAACTAATGAGTACATAAAAATAAGTTCAAGGATAGAAGGCAAATAGACAAACAATGCCCGAAAGTACTTCATTGAGAGGTTTGAATATATTTGTTTTCTCAAAAATAGGAAAACAACACTTTGCAAACTAATTTCAAAGCATCTAATCTTGTTTTTCTACTCAAACGTATTGAATATATGAAAATAGAACGTTTTAAAATAAATAAAATAATCTATCAGTATCCGATTCAGCCATTACAAGAAAGAAAAATAGATAAAAGCCAACATTCGCAAAACTATTTTGTTTTTCTACATACCTTTTCTAGAAGAAAAACTCAAGCTTTCATCACTTAGTGCTCACATTTGAAAGACTTGCATGAATATCAGATGGTACATTGACTAAAACTCATGTCGGTGATTTTCCACCGAAAAATGAAAATAACGTCCGATTAGTACCGTAAAAATCTCTCCAGTAAATCAGGCATGCCATTCCTACTTATATTTTTTTTTAGAGTTTTCTGCCCGAAACGAAATGTGTATCATTCAACTGAGAATAGAACAAGACTTTTAAAAATTATGGTTATCAGAAGAGAAGAATTGGTGACATGAAATGAATAATATTCGTAATGCTACTTACAAAATTTAAAGCAATTCTTTCCCATTGATCAGCATATGCACCGTATATTTGAACTGTATTTATAAGTAGTTGATCCTCTTCCGAAGACCAATTTTGATTATAACTAATAACTGGTAAACAAAGTTGTTGCCAAGCATGCCGGCAATGTTTTTCTGTATATTGATTATTCATCTAATATAATTAAAAAAATCAAACGAAATAGAATTAAAATGAATAATATTTTTTCTTACAAATATTTCAGAAATATTTGTCCAATCAATAGAACTATTCATATTTCTTTGTTGAATTAATTCTCGACTGGATAAAATTCTATAGAAATTTCACAAAAATACTAAATTAAAAATAAAAATAAAAATTTTACCGTAAATCATCAAGCATGTTTTTCGCAGTTTGAAGTTCTTCATTAACAATATTTGTATCACGTGTTGATGTTTGTAGAATTTCAATTCTAAAATAAATCAATTAAAATCTTAATAAAAAGAAATTTTACCTTCGAATTAATTCATGTTCTTTATTTTGACGAATACTTCGTGCAACACTTTCAATTAATTTTTCAATTGTTTCATTTGAACCTGAATTTAATTTAAAAAAATTTGATTGAATATTTTTAATTAACAATGATTAACTGACTCAAACGTGCTTTTTCTTCACGTTGCATCATTCGACGAATATTTTGTATTGATTCATTGTTCGTCTAAATAAAAGGTTTATTTTCTTATACATGAAAAGATTTTTGTTACATCTATTTACCGTTAAATGATTTGAAACATAACTTGAATCAATATCAAAATTTTGTATTGGAAGAATTTCATTTATTGATTGATTAGATTTATTCGAAGTATCCTTTTAAAAGTCAAATTAATATAAAGAATTATTTATTTTAGTAGAATTACAATAGATTGACAATGTTTGGAAAATTGAAATAGATTACGTTGATAACATAAATTAAGTGCTGTTGCAAAGGTAAGAAGAGATGAATGATCAATACGATGAGGATTGCTATTTAAATTTTCTACAAAATCATAACAGTTCGGAGTTTCGTCGATTTGTTCATTTTTTATTCGTTCTTTATTGAAAAGTGTTGAAATAGCTTGTGGAAATGCTATGATGAATAAAAAAAATTATTTAGTTCATCAATTTATACCGAAGATATATATTGTAAGATCTGTACAAATAAGACTTGATGGATTCTCTTTGAGAAACAACAGGATTGCAAAGGGTAGATATCATTTCTTATTTAGTTGTTTATTATGCTGAGTTTTACTATCATATATAAATGTATGATGTTAAATTAAAAATGTACGGATCTGCTAGAACTAATAGTAGGTTTGCATTTCTGAAAATTATTTAATGAAAAAAAATTCATTTATTCTTCATTAGTTATTAAAAAAACGAATATGACAGTTTCTTATAAACTCTTTTGATAGACACTGACGTTGTTAGTCAGCTCGATCAAGTTATATAAACCTTGCATGATCACAATTTCTGTAGCTCACGATAGGTTCTAGTTTCGATTTCACAGGGTCGAAGCCATCTTACAGATCTCTATTTCTAACCAATTACCATCTTAATCCAATAAAAACAAGAATTTTAGCTCAATATTCCATTGGAACAACTTCTCGTTGATTTTCGGTTTGAATCCAGCATATAGAAAACAACTGACCATAAGTTTAGTTCATTTCTTTTTACTTAATATTACAGATCACTCAAGTATTTTTTGAATCACGACAAAAAAGTGACTAACTCCAAGTAAAACGGAAGATCAATTCATTCTCTACTGTTTATCACTATACAGTGAAATTTTTTTATGATAAATTAATGATCATAATACTTACCAGCATTTAATGCAACTTCAATTTCAACATCATCAACACGAATATTCAAAGCTCGTTCAATTTTTTCAATGTCATTTTTAATAACATCAGTCATCTAAAAAATAGATAAAATGTTTTATCTTTTGTAACACAAACATTTAGCTTCTAAACACTCGTATGCATTTATTATTTTTTTCATGTGGTTACCCAAAATGAAAACGCATAAATAACAACAAACAAGAAAACAAGAAGATATAATAAATAAAGTTCGATTAATCTTTTTAGTTTTCCATTATATAATTTGATATAAACTTATGTTTGTTCAAGACACAATATATATACAGAGATATATCTACACATGTTCTTTTTATATACATTCTCTGAAAAATTAGTCTTTATGTTACTTTAAAATATGATATTAATTACATTTTCAAGCGGAGTCGTCCTCGTAGAATATTAATTAGTATCATTAATTATACTATTCAATGAAAAAGGATCAAAACTCATCATCTCATTTAAGGATACGATTGCTTATGGTGATTTTATTTCATGTATATCAAATATATTATTTGTTGATTTTAATTAATTTATTATATCGATATTCGATTAATGTGGCCGTTTATTTTTTGCAGAAACATTTAATTTCTCTGTATGATGCAAAAGTAATGGCACAAATGTCAACCCCTATTTCTCTTCGGTGAAAGAGCGCTGGAACAAACACTTTTCTTTACCAAAAGATAGAGCTTTTTTTTCCTCTTCCGAATCATATATAATTAATTTTTATCACACGTCTATAAACGAAATGACACAACAGAAACGAGAAGCATCCTTAATAAACGTTCAAACTTTTTCTATAATTAAAAAAAAAAGCAGCAGAAAATGTCGATCCTTTTATCTCTTCGATAAATATATTGTAGAAGGAATATTTTGTTATTAGATGATAGGAAATTTTTTCCTCTTTCAAACTATAT